CTGTGGTGCTGGAACTCATTAAATCTCATTTTGTGCTGAAGAAAACAATAGGGGAGCATGTAGTACAGGGTGTATTTTGAAGGAGATGGCTCTTCTCGGTGCGTGTATGGGATACAGGGCAGGACTGCAGTCACTAGGGTGGGTTGCAAATTGTCTGCCAGATCTTAACCTACAGGAACATTGCCTTCTTAGAAATTTAGGGTGTTCTTTGTTCACGGGTTTGTCTTTGCTGCTTAGATACTGCTGTCATGGGTGGAATTTAACTGTTTCCTTCTGGAAAATTGGAAATGGGCTTCTGTGGATTGAGTCAGACTTAATCAGCTATTCTCCAGCTGTGCCAGAGTGAGAAAGGAGAGCTGCAGAGCTTCCTGCTCTTCAGTCCTTGGGGGCAGCATGGGGAGCAAATGGGGGGATTGATTCCTTTTGTGCAACTGGACAGATGTCTGATCCATCTGCTGCAGGGCTGATGCGAGCAGTGAAGACTCCAGAACAAGTTCCTCCCTGCTTGTTTGTATTTGACATTTAGTAGTTACAGGCTGGGTTTTTTGTTGCCTATGTGCAGCTGGTTCCCTGGTGGTTCGTGCTGTCATTAGGAGCTATTGCATTAGGAACTGTCAGAGCAGGCTGTGAAGCTTGTTAGCTTGAATGGAAAACCACTTAACTTTCAATTGCTGTATGGTTTGCACTGTGGGGCTGCACTTTACTAAGCAGACGTAATACGGCTTGCGATTGGCGTCACACACTGGGGCACTTGGATGATGAATGACAAGTAATGCTAAATGCTTTATCACAGTGTCTTTGCTCGATATCTTGTGGGCTTTCTGCTGGTGTGCTGCTCAGTATATATTTGATAGGCAGCAATTTGTTTAGAGCCACATTTTTTTTCCACATCAGTCTCTTAATGTCTCCTTTCTTTTGCCTGCTGCTGGACTTCAGAATCAATTGTTTATTGCTAGGCTTCTTTAAATGTTCTTATCAATGACATTATCACTTATATTTATGTGTAGGCTCCACTTTTGGCTCTTCCTTCGGTTTTGTTTTGTGTTTTCCTGACGTGTTTCTCCTTCTGGGCTTGGAACAGCACTTCAGTCAGCCTCAGCCAAACTACTTTTTTTTTTCTTCTTTCAGCTGAAGCCTAACCCCTGTTCTGTGCATGTGCAGCTTCTTTTGTGTTTTCTGCCTTCAAAAGTACCATGTACAATAAGTACCGTAGTATTGCACAGTTCTATCATCTGAAATAGGAGTTACATTCTAGAGGGGATTCAGAATTTACTTTTAAAGACATTTTAGTGACTTTTTGTTCTTGAAAAAGCTGCTATAACTATTCTTTAACACGTGGTGTGTGCCTTATTTTTAGTGTTAACCTTAGCTTCTGGCCACTAGATCATGGGAGCTGTTTGTCTTGCAGATTGCTCAGTCCACTGGTGTACGTGGAGCACAAATCCTCACTGACATTACATCTAAGCAGAGATTCAGTAAAGTTTAGGTTTGCTCCAGACTTCCTCAGTTACTTTTGAAAGTGGTTTGGAGCCTGGCTTAGAAACTGGCGGTACCCAGGGTTATGCTGGTATTCTGAAACAGGATGGTCAGTGGGTAGAACACACGCTTCTGTGTAGATCTGATCTTGGTTCCAGTTCAGTTGAATGTTCCTGGTTAATTTCTAGCAGTTAATGTGTTGCTGTGTTGAGAACAAGCCACTGTATGCAAAGCAGTCCGTTTCTTCCCTTAGGCTATGGATAGGGCTCCAACCTACTAACCTCCTACAGCATAATGCAGTTGGTGAAAGTGAGAATGGTTCCTAAAATCATAGAGTCATTTGAGTTGGAAGGGACCTTTAAAGGTCATCTAGTCCAATTCCCTTGCAGTGAACCTGGACGTATACAGCTAGATTTGTCCGCTGCTAGTTATTCAGCCACACTGTAGCAATCTTCCTGAACCAGAATGTTAGAAGATTTCTAATACTGCACACTGAAATGTATGGAAATACACTGCAGTGTATGGAAAGACAGCTTGGCTTTGTTCTTCATATCATACCGTGCTGCGCTTTTATGAAATTGCCTTTGAGTCTGAAGTCAACACCTACCTCCTCATTTACTGATCTGTGCACTGGGAAAACACAACATGTTGTGTTGCCAGTAGCAAAGCTGTTTTTTAATAGTGTAAACAAAATAGGGATGAACCATCTAACGCTTTCTTGAACAGGAAGGTGGCTCCTCTTTTGCTTTTCTGCTGTTCCCTGGGCGAAGCGTTTCGCTGATGGCCTTATTGCTGTTTTCCCTTCTGTAGAAGGTTGGCAAATTCCTTCACTTCTTTGGGCATCTCATTGGGAAAGTGGATTTTGGAAAACATGCTAAAAATGGCAGGTTGGACTGGGAGCAGATGCACAGCATGGGTGTGAATCAGCTATTGCCAGTTTACAAAGAAGGCTTGTTGTATGCATGCCCTCTTGTCTTTTAGTTTTTTTCCCCCCCTTTTTTGGGTTGGGTACAGCCTCAAACTTGGCTGACACAGGATTTCTGACCAAATGATTCTGAGCACCTTATCTTCCTCCTCCACGTTCCCTGGGCCCTCTGCAGGAGAGGGGAAATACTTCTGAACGAGGTCTGCTGACAGAGCTGTGGGTGGAAAGAGGACAAAACGAGTATGTGAAGAACTGCATATTTTCACTGCACTTCTAAACAAGTGGCAGTTTGTTCTCCAGATAAAGGCACATTTCAGAGGAAAAACCTGAACAGTGAAAGTGGAGGGTTTTTGGTCTTTTCCTGTAGGTGTCAAAAAAAAATTCTTGTCCAAAATAAGGAATATCAGGGCTTGCAGGCACATACCTATTAGCATGAATAGGTGACAGGCTGAATCCCAGGTGAGTCCTCATGCCATACCAGAGCACATCTCAGCCAGAGAAACCTAAAAGGTGAGGTCTCAGTGGAGGGTTTGTATTCTGACTTTGGGTGTTTCACCGGTTCATTCAGTGAAGAAAATGCTGCTCCCATGCAGGGAGCCCAGCATGCAGAACAACCTGAGTTATGCTGGGTGAAAACTTTGGCTAATCAAGATCCAGGACAAAGCTAACTGAAGAAGACAAGGGCCTCTGTGCTTAGCACTATTCAGCCTTCCTTTACCTTGTCTATAAAGCACATTCTTGTGTGAAATGTTGGAGGGCTGTTATGCAACTAGACTTTTTTTTTCTTTTTCATTTGCTTTTTTGTTTGCTTTCATTTGCTTCTTCATTTGCTTTTGCTGGATGCTTCTTCCAGCATCCAGGCTAGATGTGGCCCTATGCAGCCTGGTATACTGGTTGGGAACCCCGCATGCAGCAGGGGATTGAAAGTAGATGGTCATAATGGTCCTTTTCAACCCAGGTCACTCCATGACTCTACAATTCTTTTTCTATTTTGTTAATGTGTGCTAAGATCTTGTCTTTTGCAAATACCATGAGCCAAATAAAGGCTTTTTGGGGAGGAAGAAACTGGAGGTACCATTCTGGAGAAGAGTGGAGCTGGTCTTATTGCTTGCAACTGACACGGGGCTATCAGCTCCTTTCTGTGCTCATGAGCGTGTTCTTCCCCTCCTTTTTCCTTGGCTCTGGCACTCATCCATCCCATAGATTATTTATGCACACTGCTAACCAAACACAGCCTTTTTTTCTTGCCAGCTTAGTTTTCAGTCTGTTTAGCAGTTATCTTAGTGATGCCCAGTTCCTCTCCAGTGACGAAGATGGAAAGTGTGTGGCTGGGCAGAGCGGGGCGTTGCTCCCCTGGCTGCAGCCAGCTGTTGGGTAACTCAGCACACACAGCATTTCCCACAACTAAGGGACACCCTGCACCCTGCTTGTTTCCTGTGCAGTTCTGATTGTGCAAAGCAAGCCCTTGTTGTGCACAGATCTGTATCATCTTTCTGTTCTGTGAGAATCCAGAAGCTACTAAGTGAAAGCCTAGGAAGAATGATCTTTCAGCTTTTTTAAATTAGCTGTGTTAGTATTGAGATGTTCTTTGCCTGGTAGACTTGCTTTTCCAAGGCTATCAGTGCTCGAATTAGTGCTTTGCAGTCATGCCTGCTTTGGTCATTCTTTAAGAACTTCCCAGTGCTGCTGACATTACTTTGTGCTGATTGATATCTGTGAAAAACTTAATAGTCAATTATCTGCTGATTAAATCATGTCAACCAATGTCTGAAGGGGTTGCAAAGCGCACACCTGGAAAACAGGCTTAGGCATCCCATGCTGGAGCAGAGGGAGCAATAAAACCTGGCTCTGAGGAGACTTTAATCCAGATGCACACACACAGAATATAATATCCAATAGATTGTGAAAACAGAACTTGCACAAGAAAAGTGTTATTGGTCAGTGATTCCACTTATTTCTGGGTGTGATTCAAAGAGGTGGTTTACTCCATAAAATGTGGTTTGTCACACGAGGTGATGTAATTCACACCATGGTTGGAGAGAAAAGAAGCCTAATGCTTCTAGGGGAGGATCTAAGCTATCCTTGTTTTGTATGCAGTAAAGAAATGATTTATGTTCAGAATTCAGCCTCATTTGTTCAATATTCAATTTTAATTTCCTCTGTATTGAGTTTGCTAGAGCACAGAGTCTGATTTTTATTAAGCTTGTTGTCCTATGCTTGCAAGTCGCTGCAGCTCCCCTGTTTTTTCCATTTCCCCTTCCTGCTTCTCCAGTACTAAAACAGCTGTAGCACCAGTATCTACTGAATGCCCTTCCAAGAGTCCTGTGTGTATGTACACTTTACGTTTTGGCTTGTTCAAAGACTATCACAGTTCCTTGTGATCATGGGGTATTTACAGCCTGCCATGAGGATTTTCCTTCTCTATCAGTCTCATGGGTGTAAGGCCTGCGTTGCTGCCACTGCTTTCCCTTCAGGAGACTCTCCAGCTGCTGCCAGATCCTCCTGCTTCTCCTCCTAGCAAATTTCTATTCTGAGTGTTCTTAAAGTATACAAATCAGTTCTTCTAGTTTAAGCTAATGTGTTGAACTATTTTCTCTAGGCTCTGTTTTGGATATTATAAAGCACATTGTGGCCAAAGGAGAACACAAGACCGGTGTCCTGGATGAGCCCTGTATAGCCACGATCCTCAAGGAGGTGCTGGAGGGGCTGGACTACCTGCATAAAAACGGACAGATCCACAGGTATTTTTCATGTTTCTCATCCCTGTCCTGAAGTGTGCACCACTGGAACAGCAGTAGAGCTGGGCTGACTGGACTGCGTATGCTCTTAGGATACAGAGAATGGAAAGGAAAGATTGGGGCTTTACTAGAACTCAGAGTTCAGATTTCTCTGTGACAACTACTTCTATAGAAAATATATGACCAGGACAAGGCAAGGCTGGGTAAACCTTGAGATATCTGAACTTCCTTGTATAACAAAACCTTTTTCCAAATGTCAAGATCCAGCTACAACGAGTGATTATTAGAGCTGGAAAAGCTTCAGCTGGTCTCATTTCTTGCAGAGCTACAAATCACTCTCTATGAGTGCTGCATAAGAAATGTTGGACAATTTAATAAGGAGTCCTTCAAGTCCCAAGGTTGTTTTTTGTTCTTTTTAAGGCAGGATGCTGCAGGGTGAACATCATGACATTTAAATTTGGCTGTTTTCATTTAAAAAAGATGGAAACAAAATTAGAACTGAAAAACTGTTCTGTGGACAAAACCCAGTTAGTTAACTAATGGCCGTATGTGGTTTGATGGATCACTGAAACGTGGGCTTCTGTGCTGCTCTGTCATTTGGGGTGTATTTTTAAAGCATGTTTTCCTGTCCCCTGGTGTTTCAAGGTGTGGCGTAGTTTAGAAAGAGAGGGTGCTGATTCAATACATTGTGCCATTTAAAAAAATAAATGTACAATCTTAAGTATGCACTGAAAATAGAACATATGGCTTGTGGGTAATATACGTCATTCCAGCCACACGCTGCTGCTGGGAACAGCAGCCTCTTCTTTGGGAATTCTGTGAGCTTGGTTGTCTTCTGGTACAATGCCATTATAAACTTGCTCCAGCACAGCAGCAGCAATGCTTGTCCTCTTGCTGCTCGAGAAGAGGTAACTCATTCTACCAAAGTGTTGTTTTAATTAGAAAATCCAAGAAGCATTCATTTCATCCTTTTGATCAAACCAAATCCCACTGGCCTTTGTGGGATTGTTTCTAGTTAAAAAGAAACAAAAGGCTGGAAGCAACTTTGGGGTGGTTCATTTCCCTCAAAGAAATCTCAAATTTCAATATCCAGTCTCCATTACAATTCCTATTTAACAAGAATAGTTGTTTTTGCTGAAGACAGTTCTGATTCACAGCTGTTCACTTAACTTTCATTTTTAGAAATGACTTCAGGCAGCTCTAGGAAGGTAATGTAATAGAACAGCTTACTTGCTGAGCAAGGGTGATTTTGCACCCTTTCCATAAATAATTGACCCAACTCTGTTCATCTGTGACTTCCAGTTGATTTTTTGCTCATTTAGTTCGTCTTGTTGTCTTCATTTTTTTCTGAAGATGTCAGGTAGGGATTTCTTACAAAGAGGTGTTTCTCCATGTGCCTTTCTGTAGTGGAACAGCAGAACTAGTAGTCGTGGTGAGGATTGGAGCATTAGCTATGTGGATACGTGTATTGGGGCAGCTCCAACAGTGAAGTGTTTGGATTCATGCTTTATGTGGGTCTGGGAAACCTCACTGTGCTGAGAAATCTGGAGAAGTGGTAAGCTAAGGTATGGAAGGGAAGTGGTGTGCAGGTTTCCTACCTGTGAAGCAATGGATGTGTTTGTAACTAATGGCTGGGAGCAAGCTTTACATGCCTCTGAGGGAAGAGACGTGCTTCCTTAATGGAGTTAATCATACTGGTTTGTATTTGATCCAGATGTGTGGGATAAAACAGCTTAAAGTTGTATGAGGAAAGGTCCCATCTGCACTACATACAAATGTCTGTATGGTTTTCACATTTGCTTTACACAAGGGGTCATAGCAGTGGCCATGCCTGATGGGGAATGCAGATGGAAGTCTTGCCAAAGATGCTTTGAGAGGAAGTGTTTAAAATAACTAAACTTCGGTCCCCTGGGCCAGCTTAAAGCATCTGGCTCTAGAGGAAGCAGCATCAGGTGATGGCTGAGCTGCTGAGCATGGTGTCTGTGATGAAGGGCAGAACCTCAGACCAGAACACAGTCAGCTGTGAAGGGTCAGAACTGAAGTTCTGATGCTAGGTATTGAACGACAAACCCAAGGCAAGCAGCAATCCAGCAAAGCACGGAGCTCAGCTGGTTACAAATGCAACTGGGCTGTTATTTAGTGTGTCATACCTTGGTGAAAATGACAAATTCATTAAATTAGAGACAAGGTCTGAGTGGGAAAAAAATACAGTTAGCACACCTGCACTTGGACGGGCAGGCTATTGACAAAGCCCTGGGGATAAGTGTGTGGACCCAACTGTTGACCTGAAGTGGGAACAGCTTGTTACTGCTGTAAGTAATCAGTCAGAGCAGAGCAAACGTATATCCGATGGTGGAGCTCAGTGCTTCTAAATTATGTATCATGTTAAATGGGTAAATTAAGTTAACAAGTGGAAAACTGCCTTAATGAAATTCTGCTGCTGCTGAATCTTACTGTGTGTAAGCTTGTCTTGAACTTTAATGCCGCTTCCAATTAAGGTTTGGGGAGCTGGCTTCACAAGGGAGCAAAGGGACAGGAGAGTGGTTTGACAGCATTCTCTAGCGGAGATCAGAAAGGCAAATATCTAGAGAAGGCTTAAATTCTATTTTTCTTTGTTTACTTTGCTAATTAACAAGCAGAGCTAGGCTGAGGCTTGAATAGATGCCATTGTTCAGCAGCAAATGCTTTGGTTTCCCACGTTGTTCAAAGTTATATCTTTTGCAAGCATTGAACAGCATCTGAGGCCTTATGGGAAGAACAGAGGAGGAAGCAGAATAGGTTTTTGAAGCAGTTAACAATTGCAGATAATTCCCATCATCCTCCAAAACCAGCACAGTCTCCCCTGTCTCAGGGCTGGCAGCTGTGCCTGAGTTGCCGTGTCCTTGTGCCAGCTGCTGTGGTCACCACTGTGGGTTGCTGTGTCACCTGGCGATTCCAGCAGCGCTCTGAAATCCCAGTGCTCAGTCTCATGCTGAGGGAGAATGGACTTGGAACCCTTTCTGTGGAGCTGTCCTGCGGGATCCTGCTCAGCTGCTTTTATGGAAGTGGACCAAGAGCAATGTGCTGTGCTGTGCTGCGCTCAGGCTGATCTCGCCCGGGTGATTGCAGCAGGGTGACACGTGGGGTATGATGAACCTCTCTCTGTTTGGGCTGCGGTTCCTCACTGGATCTGGGGATTAGCAGTTAACCATCAGATCGAAGGACCTGGAAATAAAGCAAAAGCAACCCATGAGGTTTTTTTTTTCTTTTTTTGGATGTTCAGATGGTACTCTTTATGGCAATCTGACAACTGTATCATGCTGATTAACTGTTACGAGGGCTCTCTGCCTTTCTCCCTATTTTTATCTCTGAGCTTATTTTCTGTTTGCGATTAGCTGTTGTGTAACTGAATATTTCAGTTAATCCAGGTGAAATGATACATTGCTGGAGTGTTTGCATATAGTTGGAATCTCTTGTTGCAGCGCAATGAATATGATACTTGCTTGTCCTTCTGTAAAAACAAAAAAGCATAGGCAATGCTTTGGGGTTGCACACACTTGAAGTACTGTCGTGGCAGTGATCCAGCTGTAAACTTGCTTAGTGCTCTACTTGTGGGGTGGAAGAATGGTGCAGCAGCACATTTGATTCACGAGGTTAGCTCAGCTTGTGCTCCAACACAACTTCACTGTTTGCTTCTAACTGTATTAACAATTTCTGCAGAAAGTGTTTGCATGTAAGTTCATACCCATATATATCACCAACATGTTTGTCTGTGTGGTTTTGCAGTAATGCTCTTCTGGTATTGAGTTGGACATAAAATGAAGGAGCTGATGGATGTGTTCTGGCAGACCTCAACTGTCCTACAGGATTCAAGCTTAATTTTCATGTAGCTGATTAATGCATTGATATCTGGGCTGGCAGGTACCGTGGTAAAACTGGATTTCAGTATGTCTCTTAGCATGTTGCCAACTGAAATACTGTAGTTCTTTGTTTCTGTAGTGGTGCTGTAGGAAAATTTCATGGCCCCCTTCCAGCTAGGGCTGTAATCTTGTTTTAGGGAGCACATTTTCAAAGTGGAATTTTGTAGGGAAGGAGCGAGGCGTGATGATGTGGAGCCATTCACCTCTAATTGCCAGTTGGATTTTGTAAGTTGGTACATGAGTAATTGGAAAGCTAGCTACTGCTCAGCCATGGGAAGTGGATTGCCCCAAGTCACAGAGCCTGATAGACTGTATCCTGATATAGAAAGTTGGCACCAAAGTATGGGAAAAACATTGTGTCCCTGGACATGGAGAAGTGCTGGGCAAACACCCCTCGGGGCCAGGGTGGGAGGTGAAGATTTTAACTCCAAACTGGTGCTTTCTGATGATTTTGTACATAGGGGAGTGTGCCTAGGTCTTTTTATTTCTTAAAATAAAGGATGTATAGAAACACCCTTTAGAGTTATCTGTTAATAAAGATATTGCAGCCTTAACTTATAAACTGTTGAGTAGTTTGAGTAATGGTGGTGTTACTCGTGTGCTTTCACACACATTGGTGTGGGCAGGCAGAGAAGATGCTGCTCTGCTTTATACCCAGAGATTTTTGTCCCCTGTGTAGAAACCTTGCTGGGTGATATTGAGAGCACAGAGCACTGAATCTCCTCTCTTTGGGCACTGTTATTGGGCTGGGCCATGTTGTGGCAAACCAGCTTCTTCTACTGCAGTATTCATAGAACTATAGAATGGATTATGTCGGACAGGCCCTTAAAGCCCATCCGGTTCCAACCCCTGCTGTGGGCAGGGCTGCCCCCCACCAGGTCAGGCTGCCCAGGGCTGCATCCAGCCTGACTGTGAGCACCTCCAGGGTTGGGCATCTATGGTTTCTCTGGGCAGTCTGTGCCAATGAGAAATCCCTTTTTTTTAAAAAATAAAAAAAAAAAAAAAATGACCCTGTGGTTCAAAAAGAAAATATGAACCAAATGTAAATCTCAAATCTGCAGACACCCAGAAACAGTAGCTCCTGTGGAGATTGCTGTTATCTAT